GGCTCAGGACATATTCCTGGGACCATCGCCGCCAAAACATTTGCCTGACTGACGAGACAAGCCGCCATCGCCGCAAGCAACTGTTAGAGGCAGCCTGTTAGAACACGCGGGGAGTCATTAATAATACGTGCACGAGGATAGTGAAGCTGTCCAGACAGTCCGAACAGATCCCGAAGTCGTGCGCGAGGTGTACCAGTACAGAACAACCCGCTAAAAAATCCGAGGACGGCCAAGCAAAAGTGCGAGGACAATCACCGTGAGTGAGCGCGGAGTGCAACCAAGACCCAGCGGATCACACGATATGGATGCTTCAGGGACCTGGAGTGGTTAGAAAGGTACTGGGGAGTTCTTGGTTGTGTCTTATGACAGAAGCGGTCATAATAGACGTTCTCGGGGCTTTGAAACGATGATTCTGGGAAGAGGTCTGGTTCGTCTTAACGGAGGACACACCTTGTGGCACCGCAACCATAATATCGTAGGTCTCATACCGAGTCCTAGGTCTCAGACGTCGAGGAAACGACGATGCACAGCAGACGGCGAGGACCGACGAATTCGGGAGTATCCCTTGAATAAAGCTTGCAAAAATCTGAAACCTAGTCACAAAGCATAAATTTGACAGCGAGCCGAGTCTGCCAAGCGGGATTACGATCAAGAGACGTTGAGTATTCTGCGGAGAAGTCAGAATACCAGGCCAGGCATTATAATCTGCGAAGAATGGAATGGAATTCAAAGATCGGCGACGTTATTTGGGCCAAGCATGACAAAGATACAACAAGTTTTGTGTTCACAAAAAAACATGTGTTATGTGTTGGCGGCGTCTTTATTACAAATGACGGCTCACACTTTAGAAGATATCGAAAGTTTAAGGTAATTGATCGAGAGAACGATCACGGGAAACGGAAAATTTAAGAAACGATAATTAAGCGGTGTTTAGTTTGGAGTAAGTGTGATTGAAGAACGAAAGTGTGGAGAGCAAAACGAAAGAGAGCGGATAGCGAAACGCCACGGTGTAAAGCTTTGCAACAACTCAAATCGAGATCACACTCTGACGTTGATACGATGATACTCCCAATCCCAGGAAGAACACGTGTGCGTGGAAGGATTGTCTTGAAGACCCGATCTACAGTTTCAGGGATTGGCTGGTGTAAGCCTGGCGGGTGCATGATGCGTTCGTGGAAACTGAGTAGACGTAGTACCTGATTGTCCAGTCGGACTAGTCTGAAGAGCACATCCGTTGGCTACCGTCTACGCAGGCCAATGGAGTACTCCGTTATGATGCAGGACAGTGTAACCGCGGTCGCCAAGCCATCCTTCTTCAGGTACGACCGCACCATATTGATGAAAGGCTAGGGTGAACGTTCCTCTTTAACTGGGCAGTAGACCTACGAATAGCGTTCAGGTCCTATCGCGCGGACAACCTAGGGGCATGAACCTAGCAGACGAGTATGAGGAGGTTCATGAGGAACGGGATGCGTTTGCTTCACGTGTTTGATCACACGCAGAAGGTGTAACGATGCGGGGGAACGTGGGAAACAGACCCATGAACAGTCGACACCACCCCAATTAGTCCTATATAGGCGACAGATCGCAGCCTTATGATGGCCACCGATAACCTCCCACAGAGTCCAAGACAACGGTTGCTGTTCTGCTGGATGTGCGGCAATGTTGCCGCAAGTGCTGACACTCCAAACTAACTGGTGACGATTGGTGGGCACTTATAAGTCTACAGTTGACACCGTGGCAATAGTAAGCATCGTTAGCAAAGAACTAGCGCACAACAAACCTGCCCGAGGAAAGATTACAAGGACGCTAAGAAAACGCCTCTGTAATATTATATTCTCGACCAGCTACGGGAGGCACGCTTTTTCAGCGGCGAGTATCTTAAGGATGGGTACTGGCAAATGCCTCTAAAAGAAGCAAGTCGAAGGTTGGCGGCATTCACGGTGCCTATTTCAGTGGGGAGTAATGTCCTTCGGGCTACATTCAGCATTGACCACGTTTCAATAGCCGCTGCACTAGGCGACTGGACCGGAAATGCCACCAAGTACCAGGACGACATCAGTATAATTGGGCACACTCTAGACGAGCACAAAGAAACCTCAGAGAAGTGTTTTGCAGCTAAAAGTAGGCAAACCTAAGGATAACCCCGAAAATGCCAGCTTTCCAAGCAAGAGCTGTTTTACCCTTAAAGGGATAGATTCGCATGCAATCACAGGTAACTTCCGCCATAGCCCAGTTTTAACCACCCTCTTCATTCCTAAAATGGAGGCAGTAATCATTGTACCATTGTTTCATGCCGGACTTCCCGCACATCTTAAAGCCGCTTACCGACATCCTCACCAAGGACTCAAAATGGCATTGGGCACAGGACCCTCAAGAAGCCTTCGAGAAGGCGAAGGCAAGATTAGTAACAGAACCAGAGCTAGCTTGCCCCGACTTTGAAAATATGTTCATCCTTATTCGTGGTGAAGTTTATATTCCCGACTTCGTTAATCGGCTAAACTTCTCTGTTTCAAATAGATTCACTGATCTTAAATCGTTGTAGATCTAACTATGAATTAAGTGAGCCCTACAGAGCATTATATTGTGACTATAATATACATTATCCTTATATCTGCAGTTCCGCCTCTCTGTCGCTTTTAAAGCAATCATTACTTACTTTAAGATCATTATTGTAGGTAATGACTTTTTACTTTCATTACTTTTTTTTTAACACGGCAACACCACTCGGTCGAGTGGCAGGGGAACGGATGCTAGCGATTGTGAAACTTGTGCTATTCATACACAGGATACTGAAGATGGCGGTAAGGTTATCTCCAATTCCAGTCGTGCCCTAAACTGAGCCGAGAAAAACTATTTAACAAGGAAAAAAATGAGCTTGTTGATTGTTTGGGCGATGCGTATGCTAAAGCCATACTTAACGGACTGCCATTATAATGAAGTATTGTTTAGCCAGTAGCCAAAAGAGCTTTGGGAAACTTACTTAGGAGAGAACCATAACTATTTTACAGCGGCCTGCCAATGACACATGACATCAAAAGAACGATGACACGACTGGCAGCACGGAACCAATGGCAATGTAAAAAAACCCGAGGACCTACGTATTAGACGTCTGCACGAGTGCACTCAAAATTTTCAGTTAATTGAGTACTCACAAGCTTAAGTCGCAATTCGGCGCGCCGAAACGGTTTCAACAGAGTTAATTGCGCATTGGCTAGCGTTGTTTTTGTTGTATGTGGAATGAGTGAAACCAAAGCGGAATTGATAGAATGATTGGATGCAGAGTAAATGTGTAGAGTACTCGGATAAAATTTTGGCATTCTCTTCATTCATGGCATGCAGAGCAGACGCAGCAGAGCAGAAAATTGTATAATAATAAAAATCCAGAGCTCGGACGAAATCGTAGGTACTTTAGTAATTGTAAATTGTAAAAAAAAATAATATATGTGTAAATAGAATAACAAATTAATAATTAGCTCAATTGAAGTGTTTGTCTCCTTTAACAAAATGTTTAGTCTACCACGTGCTGTCTTTTCAATGTGTTTGTATTACAAACAAACTTTGTAATCACGTAAGTGTATGAAGCTTCTATGTTGGTATATTTAGAATTTATAATTATTGGCTGCATGTTTCGTTTATAGCTTTCGGATGCAGACGTATCTACGCCTAAAGACATTAAATCCAAACTTTTAAATGGAGAGTATATTTTCAACCTTAAAAAGGGAAATAGTAAAGTTTGGGAAATATTCTCCAATATAAAATAAAAGGATGGAGAGGACATATCTGGTGTAGTTGCCTGCAAAAAGTGCTACAGTGTGTATAAATTTACTGGAAGCACTTCAAACTTAAATTATTGCTAACAATTCTAGTACAGTAAACCAAATAATGTTTCTCCATTCTGTTATTGAAAATTAAAATAAATAAAATATATACTTATACATAAAAATTATTTCATGTCTTTCTATTTTTCTATGTCTTGCATTCAAAAGCAAAACGAAAACGAAAAAAAGTCACCAATGCGGCGCACAGTTAAGCGTTTACGTCTAGTACGTATGCAAATGTGGAGGCTGTGCGAGGTAAAAAGCGTACAGTGATCCGTAAAGTATGGCGAATTGTGCTGCAGAAAATGAAAAACAATAATAAAGGTACAAAACGTTTGGGTTAGCAAACTTACCGCTAGAAAAGATTTTTCTTAGGGATGGGGGCGCTTCAGTAATCAGCTTCAGCTGTCGATTGGCACTGAACGATAGTTCAGCAGGATGACCTGCCAGTTACGACGAAGAGTGGAGACACCGAGTATCAACGCGAAAGGGGATTATATAAACAAGCAAATCGCTGAAAGAGTCATAATCAAAACCCGAGTGAAAAAAAATTGAAAACAGACAGTTATCTCCAGGACACGAAAAGCATTCGCAGTCAATTTTTCTAGTGTCAAAAACATTTTAAGTGTTGAGCCGTTTCTGGGTATAACTGTCTACTTTCGAAAATTTATTCCGGATTACGCCTTACTTGCCAGACCACTTACTCACCTGCCGAAAAGAAATGTACATATATGTCAAAATATGTAGGTAGGGGCTTTAGTTCTCCAGCAAAATAACATCAAGTGGCACACTAATCTGCATTAGATTGAAAGAACAACAAACAAAAATTCACAAGTACTTCTTGGAAGTGAAATCCACATATTTAGCTACCATACAGATGAGGCATAATGGATAACGAGTGTAATCTCGTTACTGGCAGTTCCGCTTTTAAAATGACCATAGAATAAACAGACGTGAAGTACTACGATGGCTTATATATCTTCAACATTTCTTATTTACCATTGAACATCGGAAACTATAGAACGTTTTTCAATATAATAGAAAAGTTCAAAAGTGATTTCGCATTTCTTCGGCTCTTTATTTATTTATTTCTAATATACTATGAGTAAATGTAAAATTGACAAATATTATTTAAGTTTGATAGATTTCCTATCAATAAACATGACGAAAACATACTGACGGGTTTCGCAGCCGCCGGCATTGCATAAAATGTTGCTTATATTCATTGCCAACATTAGAGGTACAATTTATCTGTACGGCACCTTATATTTCCTTATATTACTTAGAGCTAAGTTCGTCTCCCTCGCGCTCGAGCTAAGTTCGTCTCTCTCGCGCTCGATCTAAGCTCGTGTCTCTCGCACTTGCACTCTCTCAGAATCTCGTTCGCACAAACAAGTAACCCATAATTATTCAAAATCGCTACAAACTAAATCGTCTTTCATTTCGCGGAAAATAGCTAATAAAAAAGCTCAACATATTTATTAATAGACCGTGATTTGTAGTCTGCAGTTGACCTTTCCAAGTTAGCCATTAGAGCCAAGTGTTAGCCATTAAAGGTATATAATGTTTACGCTTTTCCTTGAATCTTAGAATGGTTTTGCCAAACTTTCTAAACATTAAATCAAAAAAATTAAATAATTATTGAAAACTCTGAGCTGGAGAAGAAACATAAAAAAAATTAAAAAAAAATCAAAACCTTTTTCAATTGTTCTCCCGTCGAGATTTTAATCAAACGGTATTTAAACTGTATTATAAATTAATTATACATTGTGAAATTTCTTTTGAGCTCCTTTAAATAAACTTACATTTTGATTGAAGGTTAAGGTCCCGCCACGATAATACCACAAATGTCCTGGACGAAGAATATATCCGATGGACGATTATAAACGAGGAAGTTGATGTTGTAACCCCAATGATCGTATTGCATCTTAAAAAACTCCGAGTCGAACATTTCCAGTTACCTGACATCAATGAAAGTATCTGCATAGTGAGTTTTAAGACAGTTTTGCAATTCATCATCTTAATAACCTGAGACAATATTATTTTCAGAAACCATTCTTTATTACATATAAGGTTGGGGTGTACCTTACCGATGGAATAGTATATAATCTTAGAGGTATAGCTCGAAATGGGAATGCCTTCATGACATACCAAAGAAAAGTATTTCAAAGCCGGTTTTATTTAAAAATTAATAAGCTACAGGTAACTTTTATGCAAAACTTGTATATACTAACTTGTATAATTTTAACAATAATATTATATACTCGTAAATATTAATAAAATATCTCTTGAGCTACCAAGCTTTGAGGTGTTGAATGCGATTGTCTGCAATGACTGCAAACAATGCAAACACGTTGTAAAACAAGGTAGAACGAAACCAGGGGTGTTTTCGCTTCAACAGACGCTGTATAGGCTTTCTAGTCCCTCAAAACGAGAAGTTGGTGTTCCAAAAGTGGAAAGTGTGAGGACCTAAAAGTCTGCCTAGCGGGTCGGTGAAAAGAGCCGAAGAGCGGTGACCCGAAACTCTGCAGAAAAGACAAGGAAAAGAGATGTTACTACTGGTAACTAACAACTGTTTATAGCGTTGGATAGTACTTTGTGCTACAAATTATCATTAAATAACTTAAAAAAGTATTTATTTAAAATCCTTGACGATATACAAATATAATACAAACTTATACAACTTATAATACAAATATTTTGGGATGTTTACACTTTTAAAAACATGATAGAATGCTATAGTCCAGTTCCCGACTACCAGAAACCCGGTTTGTGCGCGTGGCAAAAAGTTTTTTGGCAAATCTATAGAAATTTACAAGAAATAAAACAGGTAAAAAATATCACAACATTTTTAAAAAGTGTAGGCGTGACAGTTTTGTTCGGTTTGTAGGAAGTTGGAGTCGGTTTTTTTTTGCAAATCTATAGAAATTTACAATATAATATATCACAACATTTTTTAAAAGGTTGTCCGTGACAGCTTAGTGCGGTATTTGTTTCCAAATGTTGCCACGCCAACAGAATAATAAAGTTTAAAAAAAACAGCAAAAATTAAAAGTTCGAGCGTTAGAGTAGGCGTGCCCAAATTCAGTTTTTTTTTTTTTTTTTTTAGCATATTGGTAGAAGTTTGAAAGGCATATCAGAAAATTAAAAATTCAACACATTTTTCCAAACTGTTGGCGTGGCAGTATTAGGCGGTTTGTTGGCGTTAAAGTTTGCGTCGCTACATGGGTCAATATTCTTGCGGTGCGTCCATATCTCAACTTTCTAGTTATTGAGATCGCGACGTTCAATGAATCGAGTATACCCTTATACTACGAGTAAAGGGTATAAAAATGGTTATGTGAATTATTAATATTTAATGCTACTGTCGGTTTGAAGTAGCAACGTACTTAGCGCATTTTCTGAAATACCGCTCTCTTTGTTGTTATCCACACCGTCGATGCACCGGTACCACCTGTCGCGCAGTCAGTTGTTGTTTCGGTCAAACTACACCAACTTACAATTCTTTACCACGACCTGGCTGGTATGGTTGAAATCTGTCTAAACTTTTACTTCAACTAGTCTGAATTGTTTGATCTAAGTCTGTTCCGTACAGATTGAAACTTTAGCAGAATCCGCTATAGGTGTAGGTGTTACGGTGGCCGTGCACCTTACTTGCTGTAGTACACTTTCAAACTCTTGGATGATGACATTATTTTGGATGAAATCATTGTATGGCTGATTTTTATAGTATGGGCAACGCCCAAATTAATAATGTTTTCAATGTTACACAAGTTACTTGATTTAATTTACTCCAGTTCTGTTGTAAACCCTTTAAATTCACTCGCTGAATTTACTTTTTCCTGTTGTGTTATACAAAGTAATGCGCATGGTTTCATTATCACGTAACTACCTGTCGTAGCACGCTCGGACCTGTCTGAAAATTTGGGGCGGAGTCTCTCCTTTCCAACGCGCTCGGTCTCAGTTCGCTCTGAGCAATAGAAGTGGTAGGACGTGTCGTAGAGCGAAGTCATTTTTTCTGTTGTTTCACGGTGCGATGGAGCGTTCGCTGGAACAGCGGTACGCCATAAAGTTTTGTGTGCGACTTGGCAAAAATGCATCGGAAACTTATCAAATGCTTCGAGAGGCCTTTAAGGAGGAGTGCATTTCGAGATCTCAGTGTGGAAGGTGGCACAAGGCCTTCAAGGAGGGTCGAGAGGAGGTCACCGACGATCCACGTTCCGGACGTCCAACAACAGCACGAATTGATGAAAACGTTCGCCGTGTGAGAGAAACTTTGAGTTCAGACCGTCGGTTAAGCATCCGGGCAATCGCTGACATCCTAAACTTGTCAACATTTGTGGTACATGAAATAGTGACGGAGGATTTGCAAATGCGAAAGGTCTGTGCGAAGCTTGTGCCGAAGGTGTTGACGGAGGAGCAGAAAAACGTTCGAGTTTTGCGCTGTGAAGAATTGTTGGCCTTGTGCCACCTTCCACACTGAGATCTCGAAATGCACTCCTCCTTAAAGGCCTCTCGAAGCATTTGATAAGTTTCCGATGCATTTTTGCCAAGTCGCATACAAAACTTTATGGCGTACCGCTGTTCCAGCGAACGCTCCATCGCACCGTGACACAACAGAAAAAATTACTTCGCTCTACGAAACGTCCTACCACTTCTATTGCTCAGAGCGAACTGAGACCGAGCGCGTTGGAAAGGAGAGACTCCGCCCCAAATTTTCAGACAGGTCCGAGCGTGCTACGACAGGTAGTTACGTGACAATGAAACCATGCGCATTACTTTCATAACGCACCCTGTACATAAGCAGCCACTAAGTTGTAACATTTAGATTCTACATTTTCAACCGTTTGTTAATTTAGTTTATAAATGTAATCTCAATACTGCTAGATTTAATGTTATTAAGGATGGCCTTTTATCATTAGATTCAAGTTCGAATAGATATACGTTCGAATGATTGGGTCTATATAAACCTCCGATCTTATAATAAACATTTTTTATAAAACGTCATAACGACTCTTGGCAGCACCCAAGGTGCGAAGCTCTTTTAAGGTTCTGCGGTACCCCAGGTTTTAACAGGTGTTAAGGACATCAGGTGTTAACAAATTTTAAAAATACATCTTATAAGAGATTTGCCCCATGGGGTAATCAAGTTTATAGGAAAAGGTACAGAGGTCCTGAAGAAATTCTTATATAATCAGTATGTATCTAATAGAGCTTTATTAATTCTAAAAGAAATCATGGTCAATACCGTCAGTTATATGGAAACATTTTAGCTAAATCGATGTTCTGTAGCCTATTTCTCGACCAACTTTGAGTCGGCTGTTGTTTTGGAGACGTTTTAACAGACGTATGTTTACGGGTATATTTGCAACGGTGGTTCTGGGAAGAGCAAGGCTTCACCCTAACGGACGACACTTTTTGTGGCCACGCCACTATTACAACATAGGTTATCGTGGCCGACGAGGTAAGGACGCTGAGAAAAGCCAATGATATCACTTAACCAAAAGCTAGCGACAAAACCAGGAACCCGGTAATCGGTTTTCTAATTAGTTGAGTTACCCGGATTTGTCCATGCAACTTTTCTTTATTTGCGTTCGTCGCAATTTTTTCTTGTAAATCAAATGGTTGACAAAAATAAAAAATATATTGACCTCTGATGGAGAACTTATTTTCCAACATTCTCCCCGCGTTAAAAGGTCCATCTTTCAAACAATAATCGAGGAAGAGAGGCAAACTTATGAATTGAAATTTTCCAAATTCCTGTTGTCGTCCTTCCTTCAACATCGTTTCCAGGAGTCACGACACAATATTTCCTACGGGCCAATGCTGCGATGGCAGGTTATCCTCATGGACGATGACTAACTGCCCAACCGCCAGATTGCGTTCTTCTTTGATCCACTTGCTGCGAATTTGAAGATTGTGAACGTAATCCCTATGCCAAAGAGCCCAAAACTGTCATCTATCCAGATACCGCATTTCCTTTCCTGGAGGGAGTCAGATGAAGATGTAGAGCATCGCCTTTGGTGTAAAGGTTAACTCAGTGCCGATTAATAGATGTCGTTCGGATCGTCAGATGCTGGTGCTATCGGTCTTGAGTTGAGAATGGTTTCGACATCAAGGAACACCGTCAAGAGCTCTTCGAATGTTAAAGATGCGTTAGCTCAGTTGTTTAATACCAGCATCTTTGCCGACTTGACGGCAGCCGAAGTGTCATGCCCTGGGGGGAATAAAATAAAATGAAAATCCTTTGTTGAGCTGTAAGTTTTAACAATTTGATGGCTGAGCTGAGCATTTGTGTTTTGAATTCTTCGAGTTTGCGAGCAGTGCCAACAAAGCTGGTTGCGCAAACCATGCGCAATGGCACAACGCCTGGAGCAAAAAATATGCGAATGCAGAGCAGAAATGCGTTTTTAGATAATTCAGACACTAGCTCGATGTGAATGGCCTTGAGGCAAAGCATCGCTGCATATGTCTTATGTGGTTGCTTGCCACGTATTTTGTAAGAAGTTGAATCCTGTCACTAGAAAAAGCCTCTCTAGTGTCTAGGTGAGCAAGCGATCGGCTGGTAGATTTCCCATCAATTGCGTCGTGAGACGAGGCTTAAAATGGAAGCATCTAGTGTAATTTCGGACCACCTTTCGTATTAAGTTCCTGGCGTTTATTACCCAAATCCGTTCCCGTAAAATGGATAACATGATTTTAGGACCAGCATGAATGCTGCTGTGATGAAGATGTTTTACATTGAATGAAATCCTAGCGTTTCCATGCCGACCGCCCATTCTCATCACACGTACTTCCGCTTTGCCAATGTTAAAGTTATGTACTTTATGCAGGGACTTGTTGTTTGCCAGTGATGTCATTTCATTACAGTATCTTTCTTGCTGTATTAGAGAAATAAGCCATATGGTGTCTTGAAGCTTGGCTGCCCGGCAACCACGCGACACGATATCCGCAAGATTTTTGGCAGATAAAACATGCCTCCAACTACGCTTTTGTGTTCTTGAAGCTCTGAGTGATTTGCTATGAGGCAATGTAATTTCGATGTCAAGTTTGTCTGAAGTTTGGGTAGCGATTGTACCTTTGTAGAAGCCACTTTGGATTTAGATACTAGTAGATGTACTTGGATTCTGTCGATCTCATCTGCTCCTGTTAATAGGTCATCCACATATAGATCCTCTCGGAGAGCTGCAGCTCCCAAAGGGTAATCCTTTTCATATAGGTCAGCAATGTGACTTATTCCTCAAATCGCCAAGAACGGCACTGATGACATGCTATAGGTCACAATTAAAAGTTAATTTGACGAATCG